GATGGGTTAAATGTGAACCTCCGAAGTGCAACAAAGGTTTTCTGAGAAGTACCAAATAGTGTCATCTGATGACACGACCCAAATAGACAGAGTCGACCGTGTCTGCAAAGACAAAATAGGGACATCCTTTAGTATATAAATGGTCATATCCCTAAGACGTGGTCTGAAGAGCAAGATGTCATTCCCTAAACTCTGTATAAAAATTGCTTCACTAAATAATTAGGGAAGTGTTGGGGATGGGGAGAGCAGCTGTAAGTGCTACAAGGAGAGATCTCAATTGTGTTGGGCCCTATGCCTTCTTGCAAATGTAAAGCTGAACTGGGTATTTTTCCCTCACCCTCTCTCAACTCCTGCGGGTTTTCTTCATCGCTCCCCTTGAGTGGAGTCAAGTCAATTTAAATATATTGATCTTCTCAGCACTGGGGATATAAATAAGACTCAAGCACTGCCTCTAAGAAGTGGGGACCAGGTGTAGACATAGCAAGAGGAAGGTGTGAGTAACAAGGAGAGGCGGGGATGGGCAAGAATGACCGCACACGAAGGGGCAGTTGAGCGGGTTTTGAAGGGTGAGCTACAGTTCCCCGGGGAAAGGGGTACGGATGGGTAGGGCCGGGACTTTTGGGCAGAGAAAACATGAATGCAAAGACACACTCACATGAAATCACATAGTATTTTCAGTGAGCCGTAAACAGACACTATGTGTGCACAGTCATTGTATTTTTCCTTAACCATGTTCTTAGTGCCCCTGCTGTAAGTGCTTTTTCATTGTGGGGTTCAGGGATTTAACCAAAAAGCTTTGTGGTAAACTCCTTTCCACAACAAGCTTCTATAACATAGTATTTCAAGATTGTTGCCATTCTGTGTGACCATTTGTGCCAAAACATCATTTTAAAAAATGTATATATGTTTAGCAAACAAATGATCTTGAGCTCATGGGGAAAAGAGACCTGGTATCTAGTTTGAGGGTCAAGATACACTTCCTTGAGGAAGAGGCATTTGTGCTGAGCTTGGCAAGGTGAATGGGAATTATCCGGGGGAAGAGTTCATCAGGAAGTAAGAACAGCAGGCGTATGGGAATACCCCAGACGTAAGCCAGAGCCTGGCCTGTTGCAGGTCGCAGAGAGGCCCAGAGCACAAAGCCACAGGGAGAGGTGAGGGGGCGTGGGCCAGTGGGGGGCAGGTGGGCTCGTGCAGGGCCTTGGAGGCCATGTGGGAAATTTAGGGCTTCATCCTGAGCAACGGGAAACCAGAAACATTTTAAGGAGGGGAGAAATCTGATGATGTGTATGATGTATATAATTATAATAATCTGATTATTATTTTAAAAGATCACTTTAGCTAAAAGTTGGAGAAAGAATCAGAGGGATGGAGGAGAGACCTGTTAGAAGAGCACATCAGTTCACAAGGGATTGATGAACTGGATTAGATCGGAGAGATGGAGCTGGAGACAAGAGAGAGATTGGAGAAATAGGGAAGCCGAAAAGAGTTAGGACTTGGTAATAAATTGGACACACATGACTTGCCGAACTTCACTTCTGTTTACATATATCAAATGATATAAACAGATGTTTTTATACTTTCCCATATTTGGGTTTTTGTTAGTTTTTTGAACTCTTACTTGATTAAACTCCAACTGATGGAGGTTCACGATAGTAAGAATCAAAATATTTTCGGATTATCGTGATGACATATGGCCCTATAATTCTGGATTTTGTAACAAAGCAGTTTGACTTCTGTCCCGTTCATTTGGATAATGCCATACTATCTAGGAAACGGAAATGTGTTTTTAAAATATGACAGGCTCCAGCCTGTGTACATATCAGACACAGGGAAAAATAAAACAGAATGTCTTGGGTTTGAAACACAAAATTAATGCAGTTCTTTTTTTTTTTTTTATGTAAGTTCTGTGCTCTATTTCTAGAATGGAATTAGGTTTTCTTAGGTAAGAATAGTAGCTTGATTTTTTTCCACCATAATAACTTAATCTTGGTTATGCTTTTCACACCTAACCAGACTGCACATAGCACATTATGGGCAGGTATGTACACACAATGCAAATCATTCTCCCAGCTGCATACGTACGATTTGTCTTTTGGTGCTGGCCATTATGTTCAATTTAGTAAAAGCTATATTCCACGGTGTACTAGAATCTTCGGTTCCTTAACCAGCTAGAATTTTACGTACTTCTCTTTACTGGTTCGTAAAGAGCACAGAAAAGAGCAGAAGGCAGAGATAGAAATGAACCAAGGCAAAATATGCCTTTGTCCAGGAGAGAGGAGGAAGCAAACCCAAGCACAAAGGCTGTGAGCAGAGGCACATCTGATGAAAATTCGGTATCTCGCAGCCCTTTTTTTTTTTTAATAAATAAGATAAACTGAAATGACAAAGTGGGATCCTATGTATTCACTTAAATTTTCCAGAAAACCCCCGAAACATACAAAAGACACAGACCTGGAGAATGTACTGAGATGCACTTACCTATAATACTTGTAGTTTCTGTCACGGTTACAATGAAACACCTCCACTGTGTTCTCCTCCCTGATTCTCCAGGATGTTTCAAAAGGTGAACCTTGTCAAAGGAAAAATCACTAAGTGACAAAGGCATCTTGCCTTCTAACTGAGGAATGTTTGCAATGATTACAAACTACAAAGTATTTTGGTTGAAGGGACTGATTGCATTCAGTGCCTGAAAAATAAGTCAAAGAAATAAAATTATTTTTGAGCAGGTTTACGTCTCATATTAATTAGAAAATATGCATAATTTAAAATTCTTGCTGGCAGTTTTAAAAAATTGAATATTTCCACTATAAGTAAAAATATGAGAAGTTTCTGAGAAACTAATATACTAGAGCCTCCAAATTTTTCCTTATTCATACGATCAAATGACCACCATTTGATTAATGGTAGGGGAGAGAATTAAAAGTAAAAGTAAAATTCTCTTAAGAGTGTTTATTTTGTCCTCTAGGAAAGGAGAGCAAGTTCTGGCCCTCCAGCTATCATAGTGAGATGCAGGCCCTTCCTACCAATATTTTTATAGAAACAAATTTTGGTTACGTGTCATCTAACCAAATTTTAAAGGGATGCCTTCCCAGGAAAAGAATGGGAGACACCACAAGAAGGATTAAATATATACCAAGGACTAGGGTATGGGAAGATATGGAACCAAACTCTGATTCTGCCTTCATATCAATACAGTGTGTTTTCTGGACGGATTTATTCAAACCAGGGTGGGAGGTGCCTTCAGGGTTAACACCAATGGAGTCCAGCGTTCCCCAGAGTGGCCGCCTTCATCATTTCATTCTGGCCCAGTTGCTGTTGTTCGGTCCATTTCAGAGCTACTCTGAGTGACAATCACAGCTTCCTTTCTCCTCCGGGACACTTCATTTACTTTGTGCCCTCTCTCGGACAGTTGTGATAACCTCTGTTTTTGAGATTGTCACTTCTCCTTCACAATCAGCAAATTTAAGTGACTACCAAATTAAATTTAATTATCAGAATATTCATCAGAATACAGGGTGATGGGCTGAATCATATAGCCTCACTTGCTGTTTTCAGTTTTGGTTCTTAATATGATCTTAAGTGGAAAAAAAAATGTGTCAGATATAAACCTTAAAGGGATGTTCATATTATTGGAGTCTCAGGTATGTTTTTTTTATTGTCTTGACTACCTCTATTCCCATGAAGATATAAATGGGTTTTTAACACAGAATTTGGGGTCTTCCTTTGAAACTAGGATGCTCTGTATAATCTTATGGCTTGGAACATCTCATATTTGAAAGAATTCCAAATATTAAAGAACATAATTAAATCATCTTCCTCTTATTAAAATGATCCCCTTTTTTATTTTCACTACTTTATGAGCTTTTTAAGTGATTAGAAAGCAAGTACTATAGACAGTATGGCGTTCTTTTTTTTTTAAGATTTTATTTATTTATTTGACAGAGACAGATACAGCGAGAGAGGGAACACAAGCAGGGGGAGTGGGAGAGGGAGAAGCAAGCTTCCCACAGAGCAGGGAGCCCAATGTGGGGCCCGTTCCCAGGACCCCAGGATCATGACCTGAGCCAAAGGCAGATGCTTAACGACTGAGCCACCCAGGCGCCCCAGTATGGTGTTCTTAAAAAGAGGTGTAGGCTTATTACTTGTGAGACTATTAATATATTTTATGGATAGTCGTGGTCTTTTTATAGCAGAAATAGGAAATTTAACAACTGAATATGCCTACATTACTAAAACTAGTTATTATGTCAATATTAGGACTTTGATCTTTGATATTTAATTTGTAAAAGCAGCATTTATCTCCAAAATGTTTTGCTGGCTTCAAATGTGTTAACCTCTGCCTACAATTAACAACCTCATTTAAAGATGGGGGGGATGAATGAGCTAAAGAGTTTTAACTTAAACCAGGAGCATCTCCCACTCACTCATTTCCCCTATTAAAAGTCTTGTTTTCCTAGGGCCACTTGGGTGGCTCAGTTGGGGTAAGCATCTGACTTTTGATTTTGGCTCAGGGCCTGAGCTCAGGGTTGTAAGATCAAGCCCCATGTCAGGCTCCATGCCCAGATTAAGTTTAAGGTTCTCTCTCTCTCCCTCTCTTAAAAAATAAATAAGATAAAATAAAATAAAAATAAAACTTTGTTTTCCTACTGGTTGAGAATATCTTAATCCGCTATCTTTGAATAGAATTCCTGTCTTGTAAGTATCACTGAGTTAAAAAAATGAACAGCTGTAGGAGAGTTTCTAAGAAGTAGTCATGCATTTTTCTATAACTACAAGCTGTAGAGGTAAGAAAAGGGTTATTTAAATTCATTCTTAACTGACATTTTCCCAGACTCCACTTAAATCACTAGCACATCAAGTCTGGGTTCATTGCATTGTAAATTAATTTCTTTCTAAAACCGTATTTATGTACTCATTTGTTTAATAAGCTCCGTTGTGTACTCCAAAGACAATTTCTTGAACTCGGATGAATGACATTCATTTCTCCTCCATTTACCCAGTGCTGCTGCTGAAGCTGATGGTATTGATCCATTAATAAACATCCTGTCCAGTAAACGAGATGGAGCCATTTCCAACGCTGCTACAGTATTAGCGAACATGGCAATGCAGGAGCCCCTTCGTGTGAGCATACAGAACCACGATGTCATGCACGCCCTCATCAGCCCACTCCATTCTGCAAACACAATCGTGCAGAGCAAAGCGGCTCTCATGGTGGCTGCAACCGCATGCGATGTTGAGGCCCGGACAGAGGTGAGAGCTTTAATAACGTCTGTTCTCTCATTTTTCTGATCCCTACCTCTGGGTGGATTAATTTGAAACATTTTCAAGTGTTTGAACCTACCCATCATTTAGATCCCTTGAAATTGGTGCAACACTTCAACCATGGACTCTGGGTGATAATAATGTGTCAGTGTATGTTCATCAGTTGTAACAAATGTACCAGTCCGGCAGGGGATGTTGATAATGGGAAAGCTGCTCCTGTGTGGGGTCAGGGAGTATGGGAAATCTATGTACCTGCGGCTCAATTTTGCTGTGAACCTAAAACTACTCTAAAAATTTAAATTATTAAATTGGTGCAACATTTGGAAAAGAAATTGGCATTACCTAGCAAAGAAGAGCATGTCCTATAATCCGGTATAATCCAGCAGTTCTGTTTCTAAGTTATACAACTAAAATGGCCTCTTGCCTCTGTGTACCAGATGCATTGTTTATAATATCTAAACAACTGGAAACACACCAATTGTCTAATTTTTTAAGAGAATGGGTAAATAAATTTGTGGTATATTCATAAAATGGAATTTCACATCAGTGACAATGAAGGAACTATAGCTACAGACATCAATAGAGATGAATCTCAAGCCATGCTGAGCAAAATCAAACTGCAGAAGAATACAACCTATGATTCTGTTTATGTAGCCCTCGTAAATACACAAATCTAAGCAATATATTGTTTAGATAAACATACGTGTACGTTGCAACTCTAAAGGCAAAGGTAGAGAATGATTAACCCCAAATTCAAGAAATCCTCTTGGGGAATCAAGGGAGTGGATGTAAATGAGAGGAAAAAACAGGGGCTCAAGGTCATTTAAATTCGTCATTTCTTAAGCTGAGCGGTAGACAAACAGGCGTGCCTTTACTGTTGTGCGTTACATTATACACATGGGTTCCACATACTCCTGTGTTCCTTGTATATTTCAAAGTTTTAAAAAACATAGAATTGCATTTTTTTTTACAAGTGTATCATATAAAAGTGTCTTTGGTTCTATTCAAAAAGGTAATGTAAACCTACAAACATCCTTTTTTCTCCTGCTTTAGTCATATTTACTTGTCACGCAGCACTCATCAAACAGCCTAGGGCTTTGTTCCTCTCCTGCCAATATAAATAACAACAGCTAACGCTTACTGAGCACTTACTAGGCAGTGGGCACTGTGCAAAGCACTCGACAAGCTCTTAAGCCTCACTCCCTGCTGAGTGAGGAGCGCAACAGGGGGCTCGATCCCACCACCCAAGACATCCCGACCTGAGCTGAAACCAAGAGCTGGACGCCCAACTGGCTGAGCCGCCCAGGCACCCCAAGACTACCAGATGTTTATTTACCATCTACTCTGTGTCAGACACTATGCTAGGCTTCGGCAACACAGCAATCAAAGCGTTTTGGTCCTACCTTGATGCAGTCTGCAGAATAGTCCGTCTCTTTCCAGGAATATTGCAGCTGAGTCTCCTGCTCTCCCTACGCCTGCCACCCCTGCTTCCCACACTGCCTCCAGACTGATTTTTCAAATATACGACCCTCATCACGTCATTGCAAGTCCCCAGTGGCGCGCCATTGCCCCAGAGGAAAAGTTGAGCTGCTTAGCGTGATCTGCATGGGCTCCCAATGACCCACACCTACCCACCTGTGCCTGAAGCCTCTTCCCAGGCCTAACTCCATACTCCAGAAATACCATACCATTTGTAATTCTGTCCATAATGCTCTGTTCTCTTATTTATATGTCTTTGATTTCTCCGCTTGGAAAACTATTCTCACTTTTGTCCAGCTGATAAAATCGCACTTCTCCTTCAAAACCCACGTCAGCCATTCTGTCTTCCATGAGGCCTTTCTTCAGCCCTCAAGCTGGGGAGGGTCCCTCCTCTATGCTTCCCTTACACCCTATGTATGCTTCCCTTGTCTTCTGCTTTGCATATATGGTTGAGGCCTTAGTGAAAGGACCTGAGAGTTTTTTTCCCTGTGTCCATGCCATTAATAGATATCTGGCACAGAGTGCATACTTAATAAACAGTCATTAAATGAATGGGTAAATGAGTGAAGGAATTAATAAATGAATTAGATCTTTTCCAAAAGAACACATGGAGTTAGACTATCTTGTATTATACTCAGAAATAAAGATGTTCAGAAATTTGACTTGCTAAAGCCCAAGATGCTTCAAGTAAACTTTTTAAAGCTGTAATGTTACAAGTACTAAAGTGTGATCCCTGAGAAGACAATGTCACTGGACATTGACGGAAAACGACTGAATCTGAATCAAGTGGATCATACCCCATAAGGGCTTTTGTCTTCAGATACTACACATAGAAACTGGTAGAATATTCTTTTTTTTGTCCTCTAGGTTCAGATGATAGAGTATTGCATTTCAGGCAGTATGACAAGAGCTCTGTCAAATCTTTTTTTTTTTTTCCGGATTGGAATAATTTTATCCAGGAATAATTACCTTTATTACTTGAATTTCCTTTAATGATGTAATTTATGTGGTTCTGTCCAATTCTCTTCTTATTCTTTTTTATCTCTTCCTCACTCCTTGAAGAATTGAAGAGAAGACACTGTGCAGCAATAACAAAAATTGGTCTTTTTCTAGGGCATTGCTATGGTACTGCTTTGTCCACACTGATGATTTGGTGGTGGTGTCCAGTGACATGGGTAGCATGTCACTGTATCAGTTCCTCCTGCCCAGCCTTGGGGACCGGATTCATTCCTTATTACTGCTGTAACAAATGACCACAACGTTGTGGCCTAAAGTAATAGAAATCCGTTATTGTATAGTATGGGAGGTCAGAAGTCTGAAAACAGGTCTTACGGGTTAAAATCAAGGTGTTGGCAGAGCTATGTTCCTTTGGGAGACTTTGAGGGGAAAATCTGCCCTTTCTAGCTTTTACCATCCACCTCCATCCCTTCTGTGGCCCCTTCCTCCATCTTCAAAGGGTATTACTCCAATCTCTGCTTCTACACGGCTCCTTTCTTGGCTCCAGGCACCCATATCTCTGTCTTATAAGGACCCTGGTAATTAAATTGGGCCCACCTGATTATCTGGGACAATCTCCCCATCTCAAACTTATTAACATGTCACATCTGCAAAATCCCTTCCAGGGAAAAGGACACCTTTGGGGGACCATCATTCTGTCTACCATAGGGCCAAGTGAACAGTCAGTGTTGACGAGCAGAATGAATGAGCACAGGGAGCAAGAAGACAGGCTCTCAGTCCCCCTCCCATGCAAAGTCACAGTGACCTCCATGCAAAGTCACAGTGGCCTCCCTCGGTTATTTGCCTGTGGCCTCCTCTTGACCTTGAACAGAAATCTGGGCTCCTGTCTTTAAGGTTTTGTAATAGACTGCTTCCCCCTGGATGTAATAAATCTAAATATCCTAAAATGTTCTTACATAGTTAAAATCGTTTAACAATCAAATGAGATTTAAAAAAAAAAAATCAGCATTTATATTCTGTACTCCCGATGTGTAAACTTTTGGTTTCCATGTTCAGTTAAGAAATTCAGGCGGCCTGGAGCCGCTGGTGGAGCTCCTGCGCTCTAAGAATGCAGAAGTGAGAAGGCACGCCAGCTGGGCCGTGATGGTCTGCGCCAACGATGAGCTGATGGCTGTTGAATTATGCAGGCTTGGGTGAGTGGAGCTGCCTCGAGTCTCTGGCTCAGATGAAGAGCAGAAGTTGAAGGAGCGCACTCTTCGGGCCCAAGCAAGGAAGGTCAGGCAGAGTCCACACTCCCGCTCACAGGAGTTAATCTCACAGGCTGCCGAGCCCTCGGGAGCTGTGACTGGCTCAGCGGACCTTCCCTAGGAAGGGACGGCCTGGCGGGGCGTCGGGGGGGGTCCCCTCCCATTCTCCCCACCTGGAGATCTCCCCAGCACCCTTACAAAACCATCTTTACCATCTCCCTATCCACCTTTTCACCTTGATCAATGCCTCTCTTTCCCTCCCCTCTGCTACTGCTAAACAGCAACTCTTGTCTTTCCACTTTTGAAACGAAAATGAAATGGGTGAGCCATGATTGCATCTACTTTTTCCCCCACCTTCACCCAAACTTCTCCGTCAGAATTAGGCATTTAACCCACCCCACCAAAGCAGGTCCTCCAGCTGCAGCAGATGAGGGAGTTGCCTTAGCGTACTGGCAAATAGGGTTTTAAGGGTCCACTGATGGGGGGCGCCTGGGTGGCTCAGTTGGTTAAGCGACTGCCTTCGGCTCAGGTCATGATCCTGGAGTCCCGGGATCGAGTCCCACATCGGGCTTCCTGCTCAGCAGGGGGTCTGCTTCTCCCTCTGACCCTCTTCCCTCTCATGCTCTCTACCTCTCATTCTCTCTCTCTCAAATAAATAAATAAAATCTTTAAAAAAAAAAAAAGGGTCCACTGATGGGCTCACCCTATTTCTAACCATCTCTGTGTTTGTGCATATTGCCTGGTTAGCTGAAAGAGTTGGAGCCCAATACTAATTTTGCTTTAAATGAAGAACTTTTTCCACCCTCAAAGTGTCCTTTTCAGCTGTTTGAATATGAGTCACTACATGGCATATATATTCTCAAAAAGGACTGATTCATCTTCACAATTCTGTCAGTATTACTTTATCTAAAAGGGTGAGATGTCTTTAACCTTTCCATCTCAATTCTTCATTCAGGGTCTTGGCTGGGTATATAAATGAGAACTTAATATTGGATTGCTTGTTTAAAGAAAATAATGCTTTTTTTCTTGTATTGACAGGGCTTTAGATATCCTTGAAGAAGTTAATCTATCAGTAAGTCGAAAAAATAAATTCAGTGAGGCAGCTTATAACAAATTGCTCAACAACTACCTGTCTCTGAAATATAGCCTGACTGGCTATTTGTCATCAAGTAACATAATTAGTGACGGATTCTATGATTACGGTCAGGTAAGTGACAGCATTAATTTGTATTTTAGTATGTACGATCATTTCTTCTTTAGTCACAGTGCCATTACATTGCAATTTTTTAACCACCTCACAGAATGTATATTTTTATAGGCAGAAACTTGGGAATCAGAGCTTTATTCTTAACTTTGGCTGTAAGATCTTGCATTTGTGTACAGTTTTAACTAGAATCTGATTACTTGTAGTAGAATCAGCTTGCTGAGGCTACTCTCAAGTTTCAGGGAAGATATAAAAGAAGGAGCATTTTCTGTTCTATTAATTCCAGGGTTCAGTGTTAGTGATAAGGATAGAAGTATGAGTGTTTCATATTATTATAATCTAATTGAAATGAGCCAAATTGTAATACCAAATTTTAAAATGTAATATAGAAGACCGTCATTTAAGCTGCATTTCTGACTATGATTTTAAAAACAATATACAGTGTGATTCAGGGTTAATGTCAAGAGAAAGGGGAAGCTAAAAATTAGAATCTTAAGGACTTTTTGGCACTGCTGCTTAAGACAGCATTTTCCTTTCTTCTGGAAACCAAGAGCAATAAGGAGAATAGGAAAACACTTTTTAAATCTACAAATGCCACTTTAGGCAAATCTAGGAAACAGATATGATCCACAGACTTCCTTAAGAAAAATGTAGGAGTTACCGAAAATCCCTGAGATCAGGCAGAAGGGGTGCAGGAGGAGGAATGAAAAGGGGGAAGAAAATAAGCCCAGAGAGCGACAAGCAGCTAGTGGTGCAGGTCTCAGAAAGCGCCATCCCTGCCTCAGGTGAAGGGAGGACTCAGAAGTACAAAAGCCAAATGCTCTGTTTGCCTGGCAGGTGCAGGACCCAAGGCCCTGGGACGGGCAAGGCTAGGAGCAAAAGCCAGTTTGGACCAGTTTGATTCAAAAAAGCAGAGGAGATAGGGCCACGAAAGAATCACATAGCTGAACCGTATTTGCAGGAAACACTCTATCACGGTAACCGAATCAGAAACATTTTTAAATTTTTTTATTTTTTTAAAGTGATCTCTACCGCATGGGGCCCGAACTCACCACTCTGAGATCAAGAGTACATGCTCTACGGGCAGAGCCAGGGAGGTGCCCCTAGAGACATTTTTTTAAAAAGATTTTATTTATTTATTTGTCAGAGAGAGAAAGAGAGAGCACAAGCAGGGGGAGCGGCAGGGAGAGGGAGAAGCAGGCTCCCTGCTGAGCAGGGAGCCCGACGCAGGACTCAATCCCAGGACCCTGGGATCATGACCAGACGCTTAACCGACTGAGCCACCCAGGCGTCCCCAGACATTTTGAATAATGAAAAATGACTAGCCTAAAACTTGGCTCCTGCTCTTCCTTCTGCTTTCCCCGGCTGCCACTGCCACCATACCTATCATAAGACACACACACACACACACACACACACACACCGCTGAGAAATCACCGCTCCAAGAAAGCCCATCTCATTCAGTGAATTCAGAGAATTCTCTGATTCCTTCATTCAGTAAATATTAAGTTTCTGATATTGTAGGTTTGAAGATCTCAATAAATAAAAGACCTAGATCTCTACTTTCACCACCGCCGTGAGAAGAAATAGACAATAAACAGTAAACATGACAAATAGATAAATAATTTGTATCATATGATCAAAATGACCGGAGCTTTTGGGGGAAAAGCGGAGCAGAGGCAGGGTAAGGGGGTTCTATAGTGCTGCGTGGGTACTGGGGTTGGCGTTCATCGTGATTTTAGAAATCACAGGCCAGGGAGGCCTCACAGAGAGGAATTCCCCTCTCTGTGAGCCAAAGCTAGAAGGTTGGGGGACTTAGCCGTGGGGATGGCTGGGGGAAGAGCTTTCCAGGCAGAGGAATGTGCATGCCTGGCATATTTAAAAAAACAGCAAGGTCAGTGTAGCCGTAGCCGAGTGAACCAAGGGGCAGACTGGTAAGGACTAAATCAGAGAGGTAGAGACCAGATCGTGTAAGTCTTGTAGACCATCGGAAGAATTGGGGCCTTTATTCTGAATGAAGTAGGAAAACTTGGCAGAGTTGTGGGCAGAAAAATAACATGATCTGTCTGATTTTTAAAGGATCCTGAAAAGTATCTTGGACGAGAGAGGGATCTAACTGTAATACGACTGGGAAAAGACCCCAGAAGGTGGTGTGGTCTAACCCCCCTCAGCAGGCTGGTAAAATTGCTAATATAGGACCTGGACTAACCTATTTTTACATATCCTCACAACATTTTTAGTCATCTGTTGAGTAATCAGTTACTCTTACAGACAACAAATTCTCCCTTATATATACATTGCATACATTGCAAACTCCCTTATGTTTACATTGCAAACTCAACTACTTTTGGGGGCCAAACTGATAAGTATGGTATGAAACGGCTGAGAGTATAAAGCAATACAGACTGTGGGGAACTGGAGGCAAGATGCCCACAAGTTCAAGTTCCTCTTTTTAACTGCATATGTGTGTGCGAAATTACATTACTTCAAACAGCTGAGAACATCAGTATTCATTTAAAACAATATAATCCATGCAGATATTACTTTTTCTTTGTTAAACTATCTGTAGATAAATCCCGGCACCAAACTTTTGCCTTTGAAGGATCTCTGCTTACAAGAACCAAGTGATCTACGTGCTGTACTCTTAGTTAACAGTAAATCTGACGTGTGAGTCCCTTGGGGGAGGAGGGATGCAGGGAAGCGCATAATGATTTTTCTCTGTACGTCATCGCATGAATATATAAGATTCCCAGACAGTATCTTTTTGCCCCCCCGGTATTTGGCATCACCCTGAAAATGAACACCAGTCCATAAACTCATAGCCTGACATAGTAAAGGCCATGAAATCACCACCAATGTGGTTTTTCCTCTGATTCCCTTTTACCGCTCAATTCCAGATGTATTTCTGTAGTCAGTGCTGGTAACATGAAGTAATTGAAGGAAGTGTAAGCAGATAGGAGCAAACCAAAACGAATTATGTTTATAGGACTCTAACTGCTGCCCAGAGTTTTGTCTTGTTTTGTTTTCTTTTACTATAGAATAAGAAGTAAATAATACAGCTAAAAATTAAAGCTTCAAAATGCTTCCTTAAAATGGTCATGATACCTATATATCTGTCATAATTTATTTTATGTGATGTATTTTATAAAAATATTTCCAGTTCCAGTTCATGAACAATATTCTTTTTGTCTTACCTTCACCTCTCCTTTATGTTTTCATTCTATCACTGTTAAAAGTCATCTCCAATTATGATTTTCTGGAAAAAAAAGTCTGTTTTGTAGGACAAATCCAATACTGACAAAGTATTTTAACTTGTATATAATTCAAATATGTAAAATTTTAGTTCTCCACCTCCATCTATGGAAGATAAGTCATCAGATATTGGTTATGGACGGAGTATTTCTTCCTCATCTTCTTTAAGAAGAGCAAGCAAAGAAAAGACAAAGTAAGAAAATGGTATTTTGTTTGTACTCAAATAATTCTCCCCTCAACCTGGGAGTAAGAACAAATTTAGGTTTTAGATTAGGGCAACTTAATTCTTTTCATTCTTCTAGTACTATAATTTCATAATTGCCTTTTTAAATTGCTGTGGAAAAGATCTCTGGGAAAAGTAGGCTTTCTGTGCTATTTGCTGTGAACCTCCAGTGAGCCCTCGAGCACAGGACTTAGGAGCTGTGAGCCGGCTTTGTTCGATTTTCTGTAGATGGAGTCATGCCTGGTGCCCAGCTTCACATCGGGGAAGGGAGCCCAGGCATGTCATGGCAAAGAAAATGCCTTCTAAACAACGAAATGCCTTGCAAATGTAATGTTTTATTATTTCTCATATGATTGAAATCGATGATGAATTTTTCCTTGTCCTAAGAACAAATAGTTTTCATTTTAGTACTGGATTTGGATCTCCCACAGAAGACAAATCGGAACCTACTTCTGGACGAAATACTGCTCTTAGCAAAAGCACCACGAAGGAGAAAGGATCAAGGTAGGAAATGTAGGACTGTCTTCTTTTCCTAAGGGTAGTCATCTGAGGTTTTGATTCCCCACCAAAGTTGGTGAACGGAAGGGGTGGCCTCTAAGATAGGAAGCATTTCTTACCGAATCAGGATGTCGGGTCCGAGGGGAGACTCATGAAATGTAATTAACAAGTCACTTCATTTTTGCCTCTTGCAATCTCTTGAAAACTTAACCAGAGGGAATTGCTTCTCCTGCCTCTGGGTGAGAACTCAGGTCACTTTGATCAACTATACAGTCCTACAGACGCTTGAATTCGAAAACAGCAACAGTAGTCTCTAGCCAGTCATTTAAAAGTCCAACCCTGTGTCATGATCAAGGTAGAATGACCCCCCTGCCCTCCCCCGGCGGCTGCCCTTGCGGATGGTGAGCTCCACACGCTGGAGCGCGGTCCTGTCCCTCTCCGCCTTGTGCTTCTACCCCGCCCCCCCCCCCCCCCGCTCGCCCAGAGAAACCTCTGACCCCTCAGGAGGCAGCGAGAGGAGGAAAGGGAACTAGGACCCAGCTCTTACTTGATGGAACAATTAGAATGTGGTTTCATGCTTTTTAGGCCTAGCATGTTTTAAACATGCTTTCCGTATGTTTACGTATTTTTAAACCCATTATTTCTCTAATGAGCACTTTCGTGGATTCCTCAAAAACCCACGTGGACCTCTTGCCACACTCCGTGACCCTTTAATTATTGTTGACTTAAGCCCTTCCGAACCACTGTGGTATCGGAGGCTGTTTGGCAGGCGTTTCAGGCATCCGCTCTCTAAACTGAGACCGCCCCCTACGGCCTCCCGAGGTCTGGGCGGTGGTTTGCTCTCCTCAGACCTCAGAGCGGCTGTTTCCCTATTTCTGACTTCCTTCTCTGTTGTCAGTCTCCTTTGCTGCTCTTCTCATCTCAGCTTCTTAACTGCTCCTATTGTTCCAGGAATGATATTTTTTGCCCTTCCCTCCCCTCCCTTCCCTTTCACCCGTCTCCTCCCCACCCCACCCGTCCCCTCCCCTCCCCATCCTATCCCCCACCCCGCACCTTCTCTTCCTGTCTTTCTTTTCCTCCTTTGGCTTCTCTGTGCTTCACCTCTACTGCATGGAGAGCTCCTTGAGGACAAGAACATATTCTGATTTGAGGAATTTCTCTTCCCATCCCTAGTGTTTAGCCCAGGGCTTGGTGGGCATACAGAGGCATTCATGTGTGTTCAAGAGAATAGAAATCTGAACGGTTGCAGGAAAAGGTTATTTATGACAAGGTCCACCCTTATAAACTGTGTGTCTGAGCAAGTTGGTTTCCTTCTCTTTGCCTGAGTCTCCTCGTCAGTAAAATGAACAGAACATAGGGTATGGTGAGGAGTAAAGAAATTAGCATGTAGAAAGTGCATAGAGCAGTGCCTGGCACAAAGTAGACGCTCAACAAGTGTTAGTACTGTTGTACGAAACAGTTGCAAGGAGCCCAAATGCACTCAACCCTTGCAGGGATATAGAGGAGTCTCCAGAGTCCAACGCGGGAAATGCAGCCATCCCCCAAGGACAGGAGCTCGGATGAAGTCCATAACTGTAGGGTCTCTGTCTCTCTCCCTCTCTTTTTCTCTCTCCACATGCGGGTATCTTATTTACAGATGCTTTGTTATCCTCCTTGACTTTCTTTTGATTACTGCTTCACCCATAACCGTGGCTTTTATGTGCCTTTGGTTTGCCATGGGACAAATCTGGCTCCGATTCCAAGCAAACTTTCAATTCTAAAGCATATTTGTGCATATTCAAGTGCATATTTGTCAGAGAGACCATCTTACCGTCATAGGCCAAAGTACTGGCTGGCTTTGAGGCAGGTGTCTCCCTTTGGTCTACCCAGCCATGGCCCTGGGGAAGAATCCACCTTCTGCGCCCTTGATAAGGGGAGGGTAGGCCACTTGTCTGATGGGTGACCATTACACACATATCGTACTTACCATCAATCAATCAAAGCGTATTTTTCCCTCTGGTACCTCTGATACCACATCAGCTTTAATCTTTGGTGATTCTGCTATTCTTGGCAGAATATCATCTTATTTTTCTTACAACTTAGTCTGGTTCGTTCCTAAATCTTTTGGGGGAGAGTGGGCAGTCCTACTGGGTTGAAAGTTATTTTGTGTACTCGTAAATATCAAAATGCTGATCTTCAGGGAGGCAGAAAAAGAGAGAGGGGGGGAAACGAATCATGAGAGACAAGATCTTAACTATAGAGAACAAACTGAGGGTTGATGGAGGGAGGAGGGGGTGGGGGATGGGCTAGATGGGGGATGGGGATGAAGGAGGGCACTTGTTAGGACGAGCACTGCGTGTTGCAGGTAAATGTTCAGCGCACTGAACTCTACTCCTGAAACCAATATTGAACTGTATGTCAACTAACTAGAATTTAAATAAATTTTTAAAAGTGCTGATCTTCAGATAGCCGTGGGTTTTTAATTACAATATTTGATAGTTTGGTTTTTCTGTACTACTTGGAAGCACTCACATCTTTATCTCATTTGATCCATACCTTCTTCTTCTATGGATAAGTCCCCTCTTTTTTGGCCCTTTTTGCTATATCCTTATCTACCCATCACAACTACCTTACATGTTGACATGCCCCAGGATTCTTCATTTACTCCCTTTCTCACTCTCCATGGTTTTAGCTACTGCTGACAGGTATATACGCCCCTCCTGAGTCCAGTCTGCTCTCTCCTGCTACCCTGTAAACAATGTGTTCTAAATGAAACTCATTGTTCCCCCAACTCCCAAACTTCCTCCTGTCTTCCCTAAGCTGATGAATGTTACCCTCTTCCCCTGCAAGTGCTCAAGCCTAGGAATCGTCTTAAAGTCCTTCTTCTTTCCTCCCTACACCGAATGAGTCTCAGTCCCATGCACTAGATGTCTTCAGTGTCTCGTAAGTCATGGTTTCCCTCCATTTTCAGCTTTACCTCCCCAGTTCAGGCCTTTGTATTATATCTCAAGACACTGACCTCAATTGTAAGATTCTTCTGCCTTTTGTATAGCCCTGCACAAACCCATCCTCCATGCTACCCCCCTTAGTTACCTTCCCAAAATGAAAGGCTGATGATATTACTCTGCCTAAAGCAACGATTCCCTGTCGTCCTCCAGATGAAGTCCAAACAGCAATCATGGCATCCTCTGTAAGAGTCTTACATGTCTTATATGCATAGCAAATTCCTACTCTTCTCCATTCTCTTTATACATTTCATTTTTGTGAGCCATTCCCTGGTCACCCCAGGTTAGGTATTCTCTTTGCATTCACTCCTTCATGAATTCAAATAATCTTATATATAACCTGAACTGCTTGGTGTTGATCTATTTGTCTTTCTTACCAAGCAATGGATTACTTGAGACCTGGGACCAGGCCTTTTTCATTTTTATAGTCGTAAAGCCTAGAATAATATCATGAACACCAGAGACAGTAAAGAAACATTTATGGTTTAAGTATTCACACATTATTTAAAATACCGAATGCTGGTTGCTGAAAGGAATAGAGGTTTGACTCCCTCCCAATATGCCCCAGGAGAATAAGTAAACAAATGAAGATAATTATTTCTTCTCATACCATTTCCATTCTCCTCCTTGTCCCTGCATTTTCTCCCCACTTGAAGATAAACCCTGATGTACTCCCAACATTCAAACAGATTGTTAGCATGATGGAGAACACACATTTTGCATCCAGACAAAACCGGTACTTGGTTTTCTTATCTCTAAAATGGAAATGATTCCTGCCTACAGAGGTGCTGTGAGAGTAAGTGAAACAATGTTTGCCCAGTGCCTAAACCATTGCCTTGCATACTTAAGTGATCAGCGTATGTCCAGTCCTTTACCCCTCCTTGGTCCTGGGTCCACTGGGGGCATAGATTGGTCATAATCTTGTTGCCCTGTTGTCTGCCTTTCGGTAAACCCTTCTTGTCTTGTGACTATTAGTCCTTTGGATCCCTGGAGACAGAGGAAAACATCTTAACTCTATTCATCTGAGAATGTCATAGAGAATGTTTAATATTAACAAAAAGTTACTGAGAGATACTGACAAAGAATGATGAGCCATCTTGGACCACAAAGTGGCTAAATTCTTGAAAAGAAGAGAGAAAGGATGGGAAACAAGCAAATCAATTATGTGTGTGGGGTGGCCTAATATGGACAAGGAAAGAATGATTTTTCTCTTTCTCCTCATGAATATTGTCATATGCTACATGAATTAAAATCCTAAAGCAACAGGCTCTCACTGGGTGACCAGTAATAAGATTATTTTTGTGTGTGAAGGTTTCAGTTGTGCTCTCCTTTGTGGGAAAACACTCATGGGAGAGGTGATTAGTTTCCTTTCTATCCAGCCACCACCTTGATGCTTTCCTAGGCTTCACTGAAGCCAACAAATCTAATATGCCCTCTAAAGCTTTTCTTTATAAAGACCATTTCCCTTACGATAACCATTTACTATACCTATCTGTAAATGTATTGTAAGTTCTATGTGTACTGTATTTTTGTATTCAGACCAATTTTCATAAATATTTAAGTTGACTGCGCATGAGTTTATTATACACACTTAAAAGTTTATTGCTTTCCTGTCTCTATTTTGTTTCCTTCCAGTCTGTTCATCTCTGGAGTCTTTCAGAAATTTACAACATGTACTTAAACATTTCTGCTGTTCAGTCTTAATCTTCATCATAATGACTTCCTAAAACATTTTTATTTTTAAAATAATTTCTCTCAAGCCCTTCTTTTTAACCTTAGCTTAGCCATTTTTTCTCTTCCCCCCAAATCTTTACTGACTGCAAAAGTCTTTCAGAAATAGATACTGTCTCTTAATCACACTTAACATCTTAATCACATTTAAATACCTTCTCACCTTCTTTTCTTGAAATTACTCATTCATTCAGCAAATACTTACTGTACTAGGTGCTAGGAGTTGTTCTAGTGTTAGAGATATAGCAGTGAACAAAATCTCTGTTTTCAAAGAGCTTACTGGGACATTGA